GGGAAGGCGGGGGGGAGGTCTTTTATTATTGTTTTTGCAAGTACTTACCGAGCTAGCCATGCCTGGGGGCCCGGAGGTTTGCTGGGGTGTTGTGTGGTACCCCCCTCCCCCGCCCCCCTCAGCTGTAATTCATGAAGAGGCTGCTATGAATGAGAGCGCGCCCAGGAACGGAGGGTAGATGGCGGTCATTCTCTGCCTTTTTCCCCCGCGCTCGCTCGCTCGCTCGCTTATTAAACTCAGCCCCAAAAGCAAAAGCAGCAGCAGCAGCAGCAGCTCCAGGGCCAGAGGATGATTCCGGAGCATGCGCCGTGGCGCCTGCCTCACGGGGCGGAGGGAGGGCGCGCGGGCGGGGCGGAGCGCGCGGGGAGGCCGAGCGAGCGAGCCAGGGGGAGCTCGAAAGAGCCAATCACCGGCCACCTCCCGAAACCCCGGCGGCCCGCAGCGCCACACTGGAACGCCTCGCTTAAAGTAACAGGTTCCTGCTCGGGGGTGGGGAGGAAATGGAAGGAGGGGGCTCTGCAGTGGGGAGAGCGGCCAGCTGGGGAGCCATCCCAGCCTCTGTGTAAACTCCATTCGCCTACAATAAAAAACGGATTAAAACTGCTGGAATGTAGCCACTGCCTAGAGCAGCCGGAGAAGGGGTGTTAAATCAAGTCTTGGCGTTAGTTAGCACGTTCGGGGAGGGGGGAGTGGGCTTTCTTTTACTTTCCACCACGTATCTCTCTCTGTGCTTTTGTGCTGAAAAGGCAAGAACTCACACCCAAACAAACTTATTTAAAGAGAAAGCGAGCGAAATGCCACCCTTCAAAAAAACAAGCATCAAAATAGCAATCGCTGAGACTGTTACAACCCGCTGCAATCCCCTGGCCCCCTTCCCCATCTATTCACAAGCACCCGCCCACCATCCTCACTCCCCGCCCTTCTACTACCGCCACCGATTTTTTTTTTTCCTTTTAATGAGATGAACTAGAAACGAGAATACTATTTCCTTCCTAGAGAATGCCTCCCGCTTTGGTTATCCCGGGCTGCGAAGCTTCACAAAGCGGTGCCCAGGTGAAGGAAAGACACCTGGGAATACCTGGTGCAGACACTTGGGGACCCGGCTTGGAGTTGTTTTCTTCGTGAGGCTTCCCCTCCTGACAGCTTGCTGGGTTGCATCAGAACGTGAGGACTAACCTCTGAGGACGCGCGGGACCACTGGGAGCCTTAAAATAGCAGATAAAGTTAATACTGACTGTAATGTGCATAAATTGGATTATAATCTTCAGGCATATTGGTGACAGCCAACGTAATCCATCTCTGAGTATTAATCCATTTAGGCTCCCGGGTGACAACTAGTCGCCGGGAGTGTTCCCACAGTCGCTGTCCTGCAAATGTTCCAATTCCAGTTGTGTTTTGTCTCAGTGGCTGTGAACTGAATAGCGCGGCCACGCGTGGGGCGCAGGGAGGAGTAGCGACTAGTTTCTTTTAGAAACGCAGACAGCCTTTGAAAAGGAAACGGATAAGATGTAGACTATTGATATGAAAATGAAAGATGGGTGTGACTTTGGTTCGTTAAACAAAGATCACTGCATCTTCCTAGCCCTAATTCTCTCTCACACACACACCTTTATCTTTTCTCTTTATCTTACTCCTCCTTTTCTCTCGTCTGCCAACTTCTTTTGGAACCTTTCCTTCCCTTCTCCTTACCTTTCCCCTTTGTCTTCCTTCCACTTTCTGTCTGAACCTTCTTGCTTTCCACTTTTCTCTTTCCTTCTTAAGACAAATGAAAGCAAGTTTTCTTGGTCCTTGGATTGAAGTCAGCAGAATACTGGGGAGGAGTTTACCTGGGGCATCCAAAGTCCTTGCTGTTCACGTTAAGGTCTCCCCGCTGCTCATAAAAATATAATGGGAATCGTATTGTGACCACTTCCATCCAGCTTTAATCTCCAAACCAACAAGTTTTCAACTCCAGTAGTTTGATCCCGTTGAACTGCTACTCCCTCTGTCTCTCTCAATTACAACCCCAAAACTTCTTTGGTTGAGGACTCTAATTCTTTCCACTCTTCTGCAGGATTTATCTTACAGAAAAGAAAGGAACTAGGGGGAGAGACATTTTAAACCAAGTCCAAGGGCTTTAACTTCTCAACCAATGACAAACCTTTTGTAGGTAAGTTCATATCACAGCTACATAAGTGCATATCATCTTGTAGGTGTATATGAAGCTGTGTTGTAAGGACTAAGTTTACATGCACATAGACAAGCTGTTTATAAAGTAGTGATGTGAAGGGTGAACCCAACTGCTATGCATTCTTAAAAGTTTTGATAAAATTATCAAATTGGAGAGTTCTTTGGATAATAATATCCAGAAACTGAAAATTATCTAGATGTATCATTAGTAAAGTCATTTCCTATTAAGCAGTAACCATTAGCAGGGAGTATGACTTAGGACACAGGTGAAAAAACAACAATCCCATTCCCTTTTGAGTTGATTTCAGGGTTTGGCTAACTTCTCTTAATGCCTTCCTGGCTCTCTTGGGGTTCTCTTCAATCCTTGTTTTGCACGAGGGATTGATGTCTCTTTTATGGATTATATGTTTTTCGGATTCAGATTTATTCCAGCAGTTACAAATGAACCACAGAGCCTGAAAAGGTTTTTCCCCAGTACCCCTCCTTTGTCAAAGATACGAGTGTAAGGGAATTACCAATCTCCAGACGGTAGAAATTTAAATTCCGTCAGTAGATGGCGCACGGATTCCTTTCACGGTCGTCCTTAAGTGACCCCTTTTCAACAAAAAGACTGAGACCACGAGAAAAGGAAGAAAACACAGCCCAGAATACTCTAGTTTCAACTTTGAACAAAGGAATTTAGCCCAGTCTTTTATTGTAATGTTTATACTTATTTTAATAAGTTGTCAGTTAAAAGCAATCAAAACAAGATTAACATTAATTTCCTATCAAGCATACCTGGAAATCTCACACTTTCAGTGATGTACAAACAACCTTTTGAGTACTTGACAATGTAATTATAGAAAATATATTGCAATTTTTAAGACATACTTCATTAAGACACACTTCATTGATAAATACCAAATAATAATAGTAATAATTAAAATGAAGGTGATGAGGGATAAAACCTTCCACCTATCCAAAGAATGAGTATCTTACCAAAAGTCACACTGTAGTGTGTAGCACAATATAAAGCACCAAGGAGTTAATTAGAGGAGAAGAATAGAAAGCAACTGACATCATATGGAATAAAAATTGTATTGAAGAATAAAAGTCAGCAGTGTCTATGGCAGATCTTAATTCCTAATCAAGACCACCAGCACCACCACTATCCTAAAACTGTTATTTTGATACTGTTATTTTGGGACTGGATTGAACCCAGGGTACTCTACCACTGAGCTATATCCTCTTTTTATCTTGAGACAAGGTCTCAGTTAATTGTGGAGACTGGCCTTTAACTTATGATTCTCTTGTCTCAGCCCCTAGAGTCACTGGGATTACAAATGTGCATCACTACACCCTGCTAGCTCAAGCCTTGTCATTTGCAATTGTTCTGTTGAGTTTGGAAGTTGAGGACAGTTTGAAAGTTTCTGGCAGAACAAAAGGAGTACTGTTAAAGTATAATTAAGGTTTGAAGGAGCACTATAAAATAAATTTAATCTATTTACCTTGATTATTGATGCACAACTCAAATAATTAATTGCCCATCTTTTGATATATGGATTTGGGGAAAGGTAAAATTAACAGGAAAAAATTAAAATGGGATAAACAGTAAGCATTTATGTGAATATTATTCTCAGGCCAAATACAGTGGCACAAGCCTGTAATCTCATTGGTTTGGGAGGCTGGGGCAGGAGAATTGAAAGTTCAAGACCAGCTTCAGCAATTTAGTGAGGCCCCAAGAAACTTATCATAGACCCTGTCTCAAAAAATAAAAGTGGATGGAGATGAGGCTCAGTGGTCAAGCGTCCCTCAGTTCAATCCCTGCTATAAAAAAAAAGTATTCTCAGAATAAGTAAGGATTGTTTCTGCACAATGGCACACTTTCTCAGGATACTGCATCCATACTGTCACAGAATTTATAATTCAAGGAAAAATTTTTACCAAAACTATTTTTTTTAATTTCATTATACCTAAATCTGAGATAGAGACATGTGTCACATATAAACAAGCAACATAGAAATCTGACATGAACAACCCAAGGACAAGAGAAACAGTGACACAAGAATAGAAGCCCATCAGTTCTCTTTTAATACTTTAAAAGGGTAGTGTATGTTTCTCTTACAATGGCAACCAAATCCTCCTTTCCTTTTCCTTGATCTGAATTATTTGCTATATTCACTTTTTGCAGTTCTTTTTAGAGGAGAAACAAATCCCAAAATGAAAGAAACCTAGGTCTTTTCAAGATCATGTATATATTCTCTTTGTGAAAACTGTCTCCCTCTTTCTTATGAAATGTTTGATTTAGAACATTACACGTTTAATATTGTATCCAATTCATTATTCTAGGATTGTTAGGAACACTAGAATAGTAAGAATCATTACTACTTACACTTAAGTACCTAGTCCAACACTATTTCCAGAAATAAGAAGTGCACACAGCTTTTTTAATCACTAGAGTCTCTTCATGTGTAAATTATTCCCTGAGAGTGATGCATTTATACATTCAGAAGACAAGTGTGCCTCCAAAGTAATAATTTATTAATTGGGTGGGCTGTATCCCTAATTTAATAAATAGCACCTTGAAGCCTGAATATTAATTAAGGATGTTATGTAAGACCTACAATATATGAAACAAGAAACTATTGGGGATCAGTTGATACGATGTGATTGGAATACACGAAGAACCCCACTGGAATAGTTGAAGATAAAATACATATTAAATTGAAACTGTTTGCTAGAACGCTATCTTAAAAGTAGACCATTTTACTATATATCTTTTTGTATCTTTGGCATCTCTTTAAAGGCTACTGTACAATTTTTCATCATTCTTTACATGATTTGATCTCTTTTTTCAATAAATATTTGTTTTATTTTATATATGAATTCATCTCTCCCATTTATGTACAGTGAATCAGGAGTTAAAATAATAAATTTCTTAAAATCATAAACTATTTTATACTTTATTTGATAAGCATGGGAAAATTAAGTCAATAAAATAGACAATTCAAACTTCAATTGAAATGCAAAAGGAAACTTAGAAGAAATTACTCCTTTCAATGCATTAAATGATGTGACAGTGGCTTGAAGATAATACTCAGCCTCTACGAAGTGAGTGATTTACCACCTTCTAGTAGGATCAGGTATCCTGGTTGGGTT